CAGCAGCAGCAGCAGCAACAGCAGCAGCAGCAGCAGCAGCAAATGAGCAGCTGGGGAGTCCGGACGAAGCGCACAGCGCGGCAAAAGCGGAACTGAGCAGCAGATAAAGGAATAAATGGAAAAAGAATAATAAATGAATTAAATTAAATTAATTAAATTAAATTAAATTAATTAAATTAAATTAAATTAATTAAAATAAAACTTGCCGTGCATCGCCAACTCCTCCAAAACGTCTTCAAGCACTCTTTTGCTCGAGTCGCTGTCGTGGGGGTTCGAACTCCTGCAGCAAAGTAAAATAAATAAATACTAAATAAATAAATAAATAAATAAATAAATAAATAATAAAGAAATATAAATAATAAATCAATTAGAAGTGAATGCAGCCGCTGTGAGCAGCACAATGCTGCGGCAGCAGCGGCAGCACCAGCAGCATTAACGACAGCAGCAGCAACAGCAGCAGCAGCAAACTAACCTTTTAAACGCGGGGTGCTTTTTATTGAGAGCATAGTTTGTCAAATGCGCATTTACACTCCAGCTGCTGCTGCTGCTGCTGCTGTCTGCAGCAGCAGCAGCAGGATAATCTTCAGTGCAGAAGCGGACAAGCCCCCGTCTAGAAAGGAAGACCTGTACAAACAAAAATATAAAATAGAAACAAAATAAATAAATAAAATAATTAATAGAAAGAAATAAATAAATAAAAAGAATTAAAAACTAAAATTTAATACAAATTGATAAGCAAGCACATGTCAATAAACTGTCAATAAACTGTCACCTGCTGCACGCAAGAAGAGCAGCAGCAGCAGCAGCAGCAGCAGCAGCAGCAAAGAAGACCACAGCTCAGCAGCAGGAGCAGCACTACTAGCGACAACAACAGGAGCACAAGCAGCAGCAGCAGTACAAGAGCAAGCAGCAGCAAGCAGCAGCACCAGCACAAGCAGCAGCAACAGCGCAGCAACACACGCAGAAGCAGCAGCAGCATGGCCAGCAGCAGCACAAGCAACAGAAGCAACGGCCGCTACACAAGCACCACCATCAGCAGCATCATCGTCAGCAGCAGCAGCAGCAGCATCATCGCCAGCAGCAGCAGCAGCAGCATCATCGCCAGCAGCAGCAGCAGCATAATTGCCAGCAGCAGCAGCACCATCACCAGCAGCAGCATCATTGCCAGCAGCAGCAGCAGCAGCATTATCATCATCACCCGCAGCAGCAGCAGCAGCAGCAGCAGCACCGTCATCAGCAGCAGCATTATCATCATCGCCCGCAGCAGCAGCAGCAGCAGCACCGATATCAGCAGCAGCGTTATCATCATCGCCCGCAGCAGCAGGGGCAGCAGCAGCAGTATTATCATCGCCCGCAGCAGCAGCAGCAGCAGCAGCAGCAGGCGCGTGCCTGGAGGTGCGGGTAAACCCCGAGCAGCAGCACGTAAACCCTGAAGTCGAACTTTTTGCTGTTGAGGAGAAAAGGGTTTTGAATATATTGCTGCGCAATGTAGAGATCTGCTGCTGCTCCCTGCAGCACTGCAGCAGGAACATCTGCTGCTGCTGCTGCCAGCAGCACGCCGCTGCCCTGGCACCCAAACAGCGGCTTCAGGATCCACAGCTTTGCTGCTGCTGCTGCTGCTGCTGCTGCTGCACCGTCGCGCGCGTTGCTGCTCTCCCCGCTGCTGCCTTCCCACAGCCCAAACAGCCCTCCCCCGTAGCTGCTGCTGCTGCTGCTGCTGCTGCTGCTGCTGTTGCTGTTGCTGCTGCTGCTGCGGTGCTGCTGCAGCGCCAAAGCCTGAGATGAGGGCGGAGACAAAGTCCTAGGCCCAAATGACTGCAGCAGCAAATTGCTGCTGTCCGGCAGCAGCAAAGTTTTCGGGTAAAAAGAAAACAACGCCGGCTCCAGTTCCTGCGCTCAACAAACCCTAAACCCTAAACCCTAAACCCTAAACCCTAAACCCTGAACAAGCAAATAACCTGCCGCTGATGGCGGAAGCCATTCGTGCTGCTTCGTTGCTGCAGCAGCAGCACTCCTGCTGCTGCTTCTGCCCCCCCCTTCTACGTGCCCCCTGCCATCCCTGCTGCTGCTGCTGCTGCTGCTGCTGCTGCTGCTGCTGCTTGCCTGCATGGCTCCAATCAAGAAGCAGAGCCAGTGCTTTGCTGCCAGCTCAGCAGCAAAAGGGAATTTGCTGAAAACCCTCGAGGGAGGAGCAGCAGCAGCAAGAGCAGCAAACTCTTCGTCCGAAGGGCTGCAGCCAATCCACACCAGGTCTCCTGAAAATAAATAAATAAACAAATAAATAAATAAATAAACAAATAAATAAATAGAATCTTAATTAATTAATTAATTAAGATTCAAGTTATTCAGTGATCGACGAGGGGCAGCAGCAGCAGCAGCAGCAGCAGCAAGGGAGCAGCAGCAGCAGCAGGAACGGCAGCAGCAGCAATCCCGGAAGCGGCCACAGCAGCGACGCCGCAGCCACTCGCAGCAACAGCAGCGAAAACAGCGGCAGCAGCAGCGGGAACAGCAGCAGCAGCAGCGGGAATAGCACCAGCAGCAGCGGGAACAGCAGCAGCAGCAGCGGGAACAGCAGCAGCAGCAGCGGGAACAGCAGCAGCGGGAGCAACAGCAGCAGCAGCGCCAAACACACAGCTGCAGCAGCAGCACACACACCAGAGCCACTGCCGCAGCAGCCACAGCAGCAGCAGCAGCAGCAGCAGCAGCAGCAGCAGCAGCAGCACCTGAGGAGAAGAAGCTGTCTGCTGCTCTCCACCCTAAAGCCTGCACACAATCTTTTAAAAGGCTTTTTTCTTGAGCAGCAAAACTCAAGTCTACAGTAATGGTGCGGCCGCGGCAGCTGCTGCGGGGCTGCAGCCGTCGCTGCTGCTGCTGCTGCTTGCTGCTGCTGCTGCTGCTGCTGTAGCAGTTCGTGTACAGCCACTCGCCCAGCGCCCCGGTCCAGTTCTCGAGCAGGCCTGCCAGCTGCAGCGGCGACGAAGCCAGCGCTGCTGCTGCTGCTGCTGCTGCTGCAGACTTGCTGCTGCTGCAGGCAATGCCGCTGCCTCCTGCTGCTGCTGCTGCTGCTGCTGAACCCTGCAGAAATAAAGCCGAAGCTCTACACCTAACTGAGCGAGACTCTCCGCGCTCATCTAGAAACACATCTTGGGGGGGAACAACAGCTGCTGCTGCTGCTGCAGCTGCTGCTGCTGCTGCTGCTGGGCGGCCCATTGTTGCTGCTGCTGCTGTTGCTGCTGCGGAGAAGGCAGCAGCAGCAACAGCTGCGGAGGCAGGGGCGAACGCTCCCGCTGCTGCAGAGAATGTTTCCGGGTGTTCTGCGGATACGCGGGTCGCTGCTGCTGCGGCGGCTGCTGCTGCTGCGGCTGCTGCTGCTGCGGCTGCTGCTGCTGCAGTTGCAGTTGCTGCTGCAGCTGAAGACCATGTTGTTGCTGCTGCTGCTGCTGCAGGTACACCGCAGTAGTTTCCCACAGCAGCAGCACAAAAATCAACACGGCCTCCGCCGCTGGGGGCCCCGCTGCTGCTGCTGCTGCTGCGGCTGCGGCAGCGTGTAGCCAGGCAGCAGCTGCTGCAAAAGAGCCAGCAGCAAGAAAGACAAGAAAGCTTAGACGAAAGTATTTAAACTTGAAAAATTAAATAAAGCAGACAGCGCAGCAGCCCGCTGCAGATCCCGCAGCAGCAAAAGTCGCGTACTGCTGCTGCAGCAGCAGCTGCTGCTGCAGCAGCCCCTGCAGCAGCAGCCCGTCCCGCTACATAGCCTAAAGTTAAGTTTGAATTATTTTTTTAACAGTAGCAGCAGCCACTTGTACAGTTAAGAGCTTTGCTGCCGCTGCTGCCGCTGCGCAGATGCACAGCAGTCTGTGTGGCAGAGGTGCAGCAGCAGCAGGAGCTGCAGTAGCAGCAGCAGCAGCAGCAGCCGCAACTGCAGTGAAAATCAGCAGTAGAAAATAGAAAACTTGCCGGTCCCCGTGGATCCTGAGCACGTAGTTGCTCAGACGCCGCGCACGCAAACCCTAGACCATAAACCCTAAACCCTAAACCCTAAACCCTAGCATCGGGGGCGTCGATCAGTGGATCCAGCAGCAGCTCTGCGGCCGCCGCAGCAGCAGCAGCAGTATCTAAGGAGAGGCAGCAGCAGCCACGTCGCAGCAGCAGAAGTAGTACCAGCAGCATCGACGGGAACCGCTTCCAGCAGCAGCAGCAGCAGCAGCAGCTGCTTGTCTGCGGTATATGCGCAGCAGCAACAGCAGCAGCAGCAGCAGCAAGGAAGCATCAAAACTTTTTGGCAGCTTATGAGGGGAGGGCCAGGCGATGTCGCTGCCGCAGCCACAGCAGCAGCAGCAGCAGCAGCAGCAGCAGCAACAGTGGCCTTAGACGCAGCAGCAGCAACAGCAGCAGCAGCAGTTGCTATTCGCCCCAATGTCAAGGCCTGGACTGCGGCAGCGCCCCTTGAGGGAAGCAGCAGCAGCAGCAGGAGGTGCAACAGGAGGAGCAGCAGCAGCGGGAGGAGCAGCAGGTGGGGCAGCAGCAGCAGCAGCGAGCCCGCAGCAGCAAGAGCTTGCTGCTTCTGAGGCCCCAGCGCTTCGGCCAACGAAGCAAAGAGCAGCAGCAGCAGCAGCAGCTACTGCGGCAGCATCAACTAACGCAGCAGCAGCAATAAGCGACCCCTCAGCCCCTGCTGCTGGGAATTCGAACCGCAGCAGCAGCAGCAGCAGCGGGCAAGTTGCCGCTGCTGCTGCGCGGCCCACAACAGCAGCAACCACCCGATCAGCAGCAGCAGCAGCAGCTGCAGCAGCAGCAGCAAACGCTGCTGCTGCACCGCCGCGGGTTTCTCCAACTGCAGCGCACCCAACTACTCGCGCAGCAGCAGCAGCTGCTGCTGCTGCTGCTGCAACAGCAGCAACAGCAGCAACAGCAGCAACAACTGCTGCTGCTCGACGGCCAGCGACCACTCGCAACGCAGCAGCAGCAGCTGCTGCTGCTGCTGAGAGACAAGGCCCCGTAGCAGCAGCAGCTAAGAGCTCTCCAGGCCTGCAGCGAGCAACAGCAGCAGCAGCCGCTGCTGCTGCTGCAGCAAATGGGAGTGCTACTGCTGCTGCTTCAAGGCGCGGTGGCAAGATAGCAGAGAGCAGCAGCAAAACCGCTGCTGGGTCTGCTGCTGCTGCTGCTGCTGCTGCT